CTTGATAAATTATAGTTGGATTCTATGGTATTGATGTAGTAATTTATGATTTTTTAGTTATTCAAATGTATATATAAAACATAAAAAAAAATATTTTGTATCATACCCTCCATGTGCAAAATTTGTAAAGGCTTAGCAACCTACGTCAAGCAGCAACCGAGTACAAAGGTTGTAACTAGAAGAGATAATTGTTTGTTTTACTTCTTTATTTACTGTTCTATTTGTTATGAAAACTAACTTTAAGAACTTGTTTCAAAATAGCAATACTCTATATACATGTATAATGTATAATAATTGAAATGTGACTGTATTTTGTAAAATACTAGTTGACTAAACACAGCCAAGACAAGTTACTTTGTACAGACCAAAGGTCAGTTTTCTGTTATTTGATATGGTAACATGAGTGCATGTGAGCCTCGTTATTGTAACTTCTGTATTGTTAGCTAGGCGTGGGTGAAAGAATAATATAATAAAAATAATAAATATATATAAATGTAAAATGTTATGATATTTAACCTATTTCATCTAAACATTTATGTTTTCATGTTATAATTTATGTCATTCTAGAATGAAAGAGACATAATTTATGTTTATTTCCTAATTTTTTACGGTGGTTTTGAGATTGTTCAAACCTACCGAACTCGTACAGATTAATTACTGAAAATAACAGATAAAATATAAAGTTTTTTCTTAAGAAACAATTGGTAACTATCTGGACATTATAAAGATTTTGCATATGAAATTTCAAAATTTTCTGATACACAAGTATTTTTATTCTTAAAATGAAAATTACTTTGAATGATAGGTAGGCAGGATATGAAAAGAATAAAAAGGCTGAGAGAAACATTGCTTTACAAACCTTATGATTTAATAAAAAAAAATTACTGTTTACTGATAATCTGCCAAATTTTGTTAACGTTTGAAAGAGTTAATCTATAACTTGAGTCATATGTAAATGCAAGAATGAATGCTGCACTTTAATTACTATTTGCATGTATAAAATAACACCACATTTTCAACTGTTAATGTACAATTTGATTCATGTATTTACGTGTAAGGATAAGTGCTCCCCTTGATTGACTATTGGCATGTGTTAATTAACACTACTACTTTGACCATTAATGTATAACTTGTGTCGTATGTAAGTGCAAGGATGAGTGTTTCACTCAAAAAACGATTGGCAAGCGTAAAATAACACTACATCTTCAACTGTTAATGTACAACTAGAGTTACTGATGGAGACATCATGATGAAATATCAGACATAAACTAGATTCTACAGTTCTAAGTTTTCTTTTGTTCTTACTTATTATAAAAATTAGTCTATTTCTTTCATTAGATTATCATTAATAATTGTACAGTAATTTCTATTCATTGAATCAGTAGTGTTTTTATTTTTCTGCAGTCAGTAACTGATGATGTATGGTGGTATTACATGGTGGAGTTAGGATTCTACTGGTCATTAACTTTTTCGCAATTCTTGGACATTAAGAGAAAGGTAAGGAAGTATTATTCAAGAAATTATGTCCAGTTGTTAGAAGTTTTTTTTGTTACATTGTTAACAATATTGTAAAATGTGTAATAAGGTTAGTTTATGTACGTATCAGTGCGTGTATCTTTACCCATTTTTTTTGTAAAGGTAAGGTAACTTTTAATCAAGCTCAAATACTTCAAAGAACCTTTATAAATTTTTATTGTATTTGTTTTCACATATTAAGCAATTTTAGAGTAGTCACCAAATAAATGAAAATATATAAGCTTTATTTTAAGTGACTCAGTTTCTTCAACTATATTATTAAATACACAGATCAATCAGAAAAGGAAATTGACATGCCGATTTTGCTTAGGTTTTTAAGTTCAAAGGATGAAGTAGGATTTTAAGAATGCAAACTTAGCAATCATGTGTTTCTACATCATATTCAAGTGTATAGTTTTGTATTTATGCATTGTTTTATTTGATAATTCTAACCAGAAAAAAAAGGGGGATTTTTAAGATTTGGAAATTTTTGTTCCTTTATTTTCAATGGATAAAAATTCACATTCAATATTGAAAGTTCAAAGCCCCTTGATACTCATTCTTAAGCATTATTATTTTAACAATTTTTTTACGATGACGAAACGAGGGAATTTTTTTCTTCCCCTAAAAAGGGAATTTTAACTATCATGAGTATTGAAAAGTGTGAGTAACTTTATTGGATGACATCCAAATAAGTATCAGTAGCTGCAAAATACCTGTTTCCTAATAACATTTTTCATGCATTATAGCATTGTTTGTTGTTATAGGGAGAAAATGGCTCTTCTACAGTTCTTTTGTTGTAGTTTTTAGGACTAGGAGATGAAGCAAAATTGGATATTTATATATAATTCTTCTGTGAAAAAACTAACCTTTTTCACACACACACACCCCAAATGGCTTATGACATTTTGCTGATTCCACAATTAAATATCGTTTTTAATGTTACTTTTAATTAAGATACAAAATGTTGAATGTTCAGTGTTTTACTAGCAAATGTCATTGCTATTTTCATTAGTACTTCTTCAATGAATGTGAAAGCTGGTTGAGAGATTTCTACTTTTGAAGATTTTTTTATGTTAATTGGTGAAATTTAATGAATCTGTGAACAGATAAATTGAAGTGTTTGTTCATTACATTCTCACAGTTGTATAGATAAAGCTCAAGATGGTTTAATAGTATTTGATATTGAAAAGAAATAGTTGAAAAGATAGTATATATATATATATATTATTTTTTTTAACTTTAATATGAATTTATTATATATATATATATATATATATATATATATATATATTCTATTTGTTGACAATAAGTGACAATTCTACTTGAAAGCACTGCTTAGTTTACTGATGAAACTACTCATCTAGATAATTCTTTTGTTTGCCATAGCCAGTCTGTTCATATGTGACAGTAGCATAATTGCAAGGAGGGGTGTCCCGCTTGAATGAAAATTTTCATTGTAAATTGTGTGCAATAATGCTTCTCAGAATAGGGATATAAAAGGGAACACCACTAGAATATCCAGATACATGATATTTATATCAAAGGCTTCCTTTACATGACTGCATTTTATACGTATAATACAACAGAATTTTGTAGTTACTTGTGAGTTATCTTAGGCTCATAAAAATGGTTCAATGTAAAGTATCGTTTACAGGTCTAGTATAAATTTTCAACTTATATATCAGTAAAATAAAAATTGTTTTGTTCACGTTCTTTGAATTTTTCATAATTATTTTGTAGTTCGTAAAATTGTGATTGTTTAGTGATTTAATGGTAAAATAATGTATATATTAGTTTGCTTGAACTACAACAGTCTATATACCCCAGAATTTTGTGACTTTTTTGAACATGTACATATCATGTGACTACTCTCCACCAATAGTATTGCTCCACTTGTATTGGTGCATCTAGCTTCTCTGCTATTCCTGCTTAATACTCATTTTCTTGATTGGAACAGCTTTATTTAGACGTTTTTTCGCATGTGGCTACAATTTATGGTTGTGCTCATTTGCCATTTCAATTTTTTTTCAACAGTTCACTTTTACAGTGTTTGCATTCAATTATTTCAACAATATTTTTTTTTTGCTTTTGTTTCTTGTTATCGAATTATACAAGTACTTTGTATCAACTACGGTAGTTTCCATTACAGTTGACAATGCTAATGGTAAGCCTTCCCAGGAATCGGGTTTGACTTTACCTGCAGAGGGGATATAGGCCTTAATTTGCAGGGAGCTAGATTCATATGTTTGGTTAGGGCACTCGACTCGCAATCTGAGGGTCGCAGGTTCGAATCCCCATCCCACCAAACATGCTCGCCTTTTTAGCTGTGGGGGCATTATAATGTGACGTTCAATCCCACTATTCATTGGTAAAAGAGTTGCCCAAGAGTTGGCGGTGGGTGGTGATGATTAGCTGCCTTCCCTCTGGTCTTACACTGCTAAATTAGGGATGGCTAGTGCAGATAGCCCTCATGTAGCTTTGTGCGAAATTCAAAACAAACAAAGGTATGTTTGGCTGCAATTTCCTCTCCTTTTCAACCTGATGATGTTACTGAAGAAGAAGACAATTTGGACTCTTTTTCTAGCACCTTCTTATTTTGGTCTGTCACTCTCCTCAGGAGAGTTAGCCTTCCACACCCTTTTTTACACCTGGTTACTCTGGTTGATACATATTTAGTTTTTTCTGTATGTTTGAGACAAGGGTGATTTTCATAGTTTTCTTTTTCCTGCTCCTGTTGCCATACCTCCATGTTGTTCACTTTGGTGGAGGTTTGTTCTCCTCCTTTCTTCGTATTGCTTCCAGATCTCCCAGTGGATCATTGGTTCCTTGACTTGTACACTTCACACCTAGTTGTGATACCCATGGTAGACACAATTCAGATACCCTTTGTGTGGCTTTATCCTTCTTTACACACAGGAGAATTAAGTATTTCATGTCATCAGTGCTCGGACTTTGGTGAGCTAGATATTTATGTGTCCTTTGTCATATAAGTTAATTTAAACTTATTGTAAGTTAGATATTAATTATTACTTTGTTTTCTAGGTAATTGTAGTTGGTTATTATGTACTTTGTAGACTAGGTAATTTTGTTAGTTCTTTATTAACGAGTATTTTGTCAACTAGGTATGTTTAGATAGTTTGTACTTTACATATCATTCCTACTAGTAACATCTAATTCATTGTTCTATCTGAATAATTTTTTTTCATCACTGTTAAATATATGCCATATAACCCTAATTTTTTTCGGTGTAAGGCTTAATTTTTTTTGTATTGGTACATTGCTGATGTGTTCATTTCTTTCCAGTTCATAAAGCTGAGCTTTGCTTTGGCTACATTTCCTACATTCTTGATACTAGAATCCAAATTTTCTCCTCTTACTCTACAGTTCGAGGTTCATACCCACAGTACCCACATTGTTAATAGTTATTTATATCTAGACGTTGGGTATTCTAGTTTAGAGCCCTCCCATTTGGACTAACCATGGCTTCTTATGGGTGGTAAGAACTTTTGCCCAACATCTTCACTTGATGGGTCTTTGCACTCATCATTACATGGATGACTGGCTCCTGCTTGCTTCTTCCCATTCACAGTCCAGAAACCACACTCATCTGCTTCTACAAGAAGCAGTACGGGTGGGATTCCTCATAAAGGTGGAGAAGTCCATTCTTATCCCCAGTCAATACCTTGTTCGTTTGGGTTTTTATTCAATTCCATCTTCAGTTGGGTCCATCTTTCTCCTCTTTGTCTTTGGGATATTGAGCAAGCAATCCACAAGGCCCTCACCTCACATTCTTTTGCAGCTCGAGAACCTCTATCTCTTTTGGGAGCTTTCATACCTATGGGTCGAGCTCTTATGTGTTCCTTTCAGTAGAAACTCGTTGATCAGTGGTACTTCTACTTGGATTCCTTGAACTACCATTTTACCCTGCCCTCCTCAATCTGGGCCAGCCTAGCCTGGTGGCTAGGCAGGAACCAGCCCACAATGGGGTTCTGCTTCCTCTACTTGGGGGGTGTAAAAACCATGCTCACAATAATGTTTGGATAAGTTCTGTTGAGTAGTCTTAATTTTTTTTTTTTACTGAGTCTGTACTTGCAGCTAAATATGGTAGTCCAAGGGTCACAGGGTATTTAGCACTAGAAGGATTGGGTTGTTGACTTCCCTCAAGAACTTATTAAACACACTATCAATAAAATGAAATGGAAAATCATTTTTTTGTAATAAATAAATAAATAAAAAAATTGATGCTTTTTTAAAAAAAGCTTTGATGAGCTAACTATTTTCCAAGCTTTATGGTTGTGAATATTGACAAAATTTTTCTAGAACTGCTCTAGAATAATGCTCTTAAAATGTAAGTATAATTTTGAAAAAGGTTTTCTTATGAAAACAGACTACTTGATAGTATCTACTATAGTTAATTACTGTAGTATCCAAAAATTATCATGGCCAGGTAGTTATGGCTCTTGACTTGCAATATGTGGGTTCACATCCCTGTCCCACCAAACGTGCTCACTATTTCAACCACATTATTTGTTGGTAAAAGAGTAGCCTTCCATCTAGTCTTTCACTGTTAAATTAGGGATGGCTAGTGCATATAGCCCTCGTGTAGCTTTGCGCAAACTTCCAAAAAAGATAACTAAGAGTTATTTTGTTCGTGAATGATGAATTGAATACTGGTGTGTTTATTCGTGTTATCAAGAAACTGTTTTACTTGGACTTGTTCATTAAAAACCACAAATGTAACATCTATATCTTCTAAACAGATTGGTCTGAATTCTTTTGGACAATTTTCTTTTCTGTATAATCAAAAAAGATTGGCCAAACAGGGAATTAACTTGGAACTCATTGAAACCCCATCTATTTGAACATACAGTTCAGTATTATAAATGAAACAGGATTTATTTGTAGTGAATTCCAATAATTTTTGAAAAACTGCTTTAATTAATCCTTCTACATTTTCATTATTTTAAAAAAACTAAATCACATATTATATATTAACTGCAATTATGTTTAGAGATAAGTAAGTGAAAATGGAAATAATGTCAAAAGTAACCCAATAAACAGGTTTATCTGGTTTAAGTTTTTTTTGCAAATGAAATTTTGAATTTTCTATCTTTAACTGTGTATTCCTCATAAACTTTTTCTGGCAATAAAATCCAGCTACTCTATGATTAAAAGTGTCAATGTTGGATAAGATTGGCCTGAGAGGAACATCTGTTTTATGAACTGTTGGTAAATCATATAATACACCATAATGTGAGCTTACAGGTCTTATGTTAGTATAAGTCTTGTCATTAATTGAACTTTTTTTTTTTTTTATCTTTGACAAAAAATCTTTGTACATTTGCTTCTCTTTCTTAACTTGAATTAATACACCATTGTCTTAGGACTAAAATGTGAGTCAATCAGCTTTACTTTTATATAGAATAATAAAAAACATGAACCTCATCACTTTCATATGGGTCATTTGATTTTGATTTTCAACTTCTCTCTACACTTACTGTTTTGGTGTGCTTTTTTTTCTCACCCAAGTGTTCTTTTTTTGTACATCATATACTTCCAGCAGTCTTGTATGTGTAACAGCTTTTGAGGGCTATAAGCAAATAATTACATTTTTTTTTCTGTTTTATGTTGCTAAGCTTATTTTGAAAACTTCTGTATATGTATATATTAAGTCTTACATCTTAAGGTGCATATTTTGAAATTTATATATTTTGTTAATAATGCTCCTACTCCATTAGTAATAACATTACTTTCTTATTTTATTATTACTGTGTACAGGACTTTTTACAGATGTTTGTACACCACATCATCACCATTATGTTACTGAGTTTTTCTTGGGCTTGTAACTTCTGGCGAGTAGGAACATTAGTGATGCTTATACATGACTTTGCAGATATTCCTCTTGAGGTAAGGAACCAGATGTACTAAAATTATTATTTTTTTACATTTGTGTGTGTTAATATCAGTATATTACCTAAAATGTTCTAAGGTCCACACTAATCACTTATCTTCACTCTTTAAATACTTATACTTGGAGATTATGCTCATCATTCTCTTTATGAACATTCAAGAGCAATAAATTATTTGTTGATGTTCATAATGAATAAAGTCTAGAGATATATTTGTATGTTTAAAACTTTCAAATTATTTAACCAAATACTAAATGAAAATTTAGAGTTACAATGCAGATTCCAGTGTTAACCATTTTTCATGAAAACTGGATTAATAGTATCTTGTGAAACAAACAAATGCTTTTCAAGTTGCTTAGTGATTCCTTAAGCGTACTTAATCCAAGTTATAAGTTGTGTGTCTAGTGTTTAGGATGCTCGACTCTCAATCTGTGGGTAGCAAGTTTGAATTCTGTCACCAAACATACTTGCCATTTCAGCTGTGTTTTTTTTTTATGTCCAAAAACCAAAAATATTCCTCAGAATGTCTTGTATATATGGAATGAACAGGAGACAGTTTCTTTTTCTCTTGTGTGAATCTTCAGTTGAATTTTTAAAAAAATGCTTGAATGTACTAGATACATTTTTAAATTTTGATATGAAAGTTATGGAAAATAATGTTTAATCACCTTACCAAAAGATTATATTTCCTATAAACAAAGTCATAGGTGCTAATGTTTAGCTCTCATTTACATGAAGTTTATAAATCTAAACTTTTTTTGTAGTGACAATTGTTGATTGATATTAGAATTTCTAGGGTTAAAGTTATCTTAAAAAACAAGTATTAGATAATTTGAAACTATGTATGTGGATTGACCTTTAGAATAGGCATAGTCTAGCAATTTTTGTTAAGCTACTTTGAAGAACTGTTGTTATAAAAATACAAAACTTTTGTACTTAATAAAACCTAAGTCTATGGTTATATGATTTGGTTTCATGTGCAACTGATAACTTGGTGTATATTTGGCCTTTAAATTTAAAGCTTATCAGTCTAATGAACTATATGACCAACATCTGTTAAAGATTTAGACCACGAAAATATGACACAGTTTTAAAATTATTAAACTTTACAATTTTGACAAATCTCATAATTATTTATATTGGTTAAATATATGAGTTAGGCTGTTAAGGTTTCTCTTGGACTTCATTGTCTTACATGCTTTCTGTTAGTTCTTCAAGAAATATATATTTGCTTAACCTTTGGGTCACCCTGTGAGTTTGTCAAACGATTTATTTAAGTCACATCTGTATAATTACTTAATTCTTGGTTCAAGTAGTAAGGTTGCCCTTGAAACCATAAAGACTCTACTAAATGCTATTTAAGGGAACTTTGGATGAATCTGTACAAAGAAGTTTATGCCTTTGTATGCTCTACTTTTGCACTTCCTGCTTACTTCCGAGTTCCTTCTTCATTTTTTAGTGTTGCTCCTTCAGTTTTCTGTCCATCCATGAAAATGTTTTTATAAGATATATATTTTGAAAATTCAGAGTTAACCTATAGATAAACTAATTTCTGTTTATCTTGTCTCAGTTGATTAACTGCAATAGATAATTTATTGGGCATATTGAAACATGTAGACCTACTACTCATCATCTATGGATATATCCTAAAATGACAAAAGAAAAAATATTCATCAACATTAATGTAAAGAATGAGCTTTATGCTCATCCAAGAGTAAATAAATCTTCTGAAGTACCTTTTAATTCTAAAGATGGAAATTTTACAATTTCTTTCATCTTCTATAACTTGTCATTAATTTTTTTGATTATAACATGTTGGTACAAATACATAAAAGTCTAAAGATGTGTAACTTTACTCATTTTTGTAACTATTCTTTTTGAAGGTAACCAAAATGATAAAATATCTAGGGAAGCAAAACATGGCTGACGTCTCATTTATGATTTTCACTCTAGCATGGATTGTTTCTAGATTAGGACTTTTTCCTTACAGGTATGTTAATTTTAAAGGTTTTTGATTGAATGTGTGCTTATGGTTGTGTTGTTGTTTTTAACTAGCCAAGTTATAGTTTTATTAGACAAATAATTGTTGTGTTAATCTTCTTCCAGTTTAATTACTAAATAAGTAAAGAAAGAAAAAAATTCCTGACAGTTCACTTTCTCTAGAGGCATATCTAGTAGTTAAAGAGTTAACCCTGTGTGCATGGATGAGGTTAAAGTGCTTATATCACGAACCTTTTACAGAGTTACATTCAAAATTAAATGAAACAGCTTTACTATCAATATTTGTCAATAAACTTGGCAGCAAAATGTAGTATATAATTCACATTTAATATTATACAAGTTTTAATTTCTTAATTTAGCCCTATCGAGACAGGTAGGGGTCAGAGGGCTTGTCATCATGTTTGTAGACTTATGTTTAACGTTGTATTTAAATATTATTTTACAACTGTATGGCAATAAGTTTGGCATCAAACTGTAGATTATAATTTAAATTTAGCATTATACATTAGTTAGTTTCTTAATTTAAAAGTAAGTATAAAAAAAGGATAAGTATCGATTTTTGTTTGTCACGTGGTATGTGGCCTTCTGGGTTTGATCAGATTACATTTTATGATGCCCACAATACAATGTCTAGAGTATTGTATGAATTAGAAACTCAAATTTCCAATATTGGCAAGCTAGAATATAAAACAAGAACCTTCTACCTTTTCTATTTGCTGAGATATCATCATAATTAGCAAATCCACAATATTGGCTCCACCAACTTCTTCATCATTTGAGAAGACTTGTTTATCTATGCCTGCTTTTTTATGCCTATAAAAAAGTTATAACCAATTTCCTCTACATAATTCTGTTACTCTTTCTATGTTACAAGAGAAAAGCTCTACTATTGTTGGAAAGTTTTAAGTATTATGATCAATGCTATTTTCCAAACAGAAATTAGATTTTTTTTAGTCTCAATTACAGCATAGTTAGGAGGCCTGGTAAATTACAGTAGATTTTTGTGGTATAGGTATAGTCATCTATGATTTTTTGGTATTCAAAAATGCATATGTAAAAGTCTACAAAAATTATTTTTTTCTACATCGACATGTGAATTGGGACATGGTTTACAACAGGGTTAGCAAGTACGACTCACGAGTACAAAAATGAACTTCAAAATATCATAAGTAGTGGAGATCATTGTTTTCTGAATATCTTTTATTTGCTGTTCTATGTTTTAGGAAAAATAACTGAAAGCAAAAAATATATATATGTGTGTATGTATGTAATATAAGGTAACCCAAACCTCACTGTACTATACAGAATATTGGAAACTATGCATTTATTGGTTACCGTGTAAGCATGGTAAAATAGGAAACAAGATGTTCAAAAGCACTTTCACTCCTATATTACCACTAAATCCCGACCACTCAAGTTTTTTGGATCGGGTACAACTTTGTACAGGGCCATATCATAAATATTTTCTCTCACTTTTATATAGTACTTTAGACAGTTCTTGTTGCATCTATTTGTACTGTGTAAACAAGCTGATAAATCCTACCCCACTCTGTTTTCAGAGCTGGGATTTGAATAAACTCTATGAAACCTTTGCTTATCGACCAAAATTCAAACACCTAACAAGTTTATTGGATCGGCCAGACTTTCTACAAAGTCATAGCATAAGCATTTTATAATACTTTAGACAATTTTCTTTGTAACCATTATACTGTCAACAAGATGATAAATCCAACTCCACTGTGTTTTCAAAGCAAGGAAATTTATGGGAATTGTGCCACAAAAGCTTATTTGATATTGGCAGTTTCAAAGTACAGTAACACCTAAACAAGAATGGTGATTCATTGCTTTATATTTGGCAGGTTTTTACTTCAGCCACTAACAGTAGTATAAACAGAGGAAATAAGTGTAAAATGATTAGAAGAAACTCAGGAGATTTACTTTGGAACTTTGTTGTCCATATTGAAAAGGACAGAGTACTATTCATATTGTTTCTTCTAGTTACTAAGCCTTCTGCTAGCAATTAAATAACTACAGAAAATAAGTGTGAAAAGGTGAGAAGAATAAACTCTGACCATAAATACTTTGAAATTTTTTGATCAATACTATACATTTTATTTTGCATTTGCAAATTTTATTTTCATTATACCTTGATTACTTACCTACAACCTGGAGAATTAAGTATTATGTTACAGTAAAGAAAATAACAAATAAAATACAAAGCTTTACTGAAAATAAAAATGTTTGATATTTAATTACGAGGTTTTTGATTTTTCATTTCTTTTTCACTATTTATTATTATAAAAGTAACTAAAATGTCAAAAATAGAAACTTATTACATAAGATAATGAAAGAAAAATAATAAAAATCTTCATAGGGTATACGAGCCAGCAGCTTGTGTGTTACGCTGTTTGATATGGTAATGTGAGCTGAACGTTCAAATGTAATTTTCAATTTGTGTCCGGGTATTTTTAGTTGGACGTGGTTCGTGGGTCAATAAAACAAAAATTAATAAATATAAATAGATGTACACTGTTATGAGATTTGTGGTTTCCTGTTACAATTTGCAGTTATTCTAAAACAAAAAAAAGGTAATTTTTATGATGGTTACAAGGTCAGTCAAATCAACCAACACTATATAGAGCTGGCATTGGTAAAATAACAGATTAAATATAACATATTATTCAAAAAAATGCTTAATGATTACCTAGAAGGAAATAGAGATTATGCAAATAAAACTTGGTAATTTTCAGATAAAGAAAAGTATTTTTAATCTTAAGATCAAAATTACTTTGCATGTTGGATAGTCAACATTTTGAAATAAAAAAATTCACAAGCAAATCTTTAATAATAAACAAAAATCTTAATACTTAATTTAAAAACCTGATACTTTGTGTATGAAAGACTTGTAATTTTACTAATAATCTGCAAAATGTTTTAAAGATATGTATACATTATCAAAAATTGTAGTATAATTACTCTCATGGATACTTTTGTGGTTTACGAGCTGAGTGGATCCCACCCAGCCCATATTGGTAGGGTTAAAAGGGAAATCTAACTTATATAAAAGCCAGTGTGTGCCACATGAAAGGGGGGGGGTTGCCACGAAACCTTAAAAGTGCATTGAGTGTTGGTATAATAAACCTAAAGACATAGTGTGGGATCACCTAGCGTAGAACCAAGTACATAAAATTTATCATGAGAATAAAAATATCGAATTAATTTTAAATCTAAGTTGTTTCTGAATTAAGCTATTTACTGTTATGTCACCAACGTTTTTACTAAAAAACAACAAAAAGTATTTAATCAATGAAGACTATAAATTAAGAAATCAACAAATATTTTTCTTGTTTACAGTTTATACATTTCGTTTTATACTTTCAGTATATAGACTAACAACAATATTAGGTTATACTTTTGTTGCTATGCAACATGACATAAAATCCATTGTTGGATTTTACTGGCTTTTCTAAATATTAGAAGTTGTTAACCTAACTGATTTTTTCAAATAATTATTCTATGAATACGCCACAAATTCATTTCATGAATGATCTTAATTTTGATTGGCTCACAAAGTAATTTACCGACATTTGACTGCCTCGACTGCACTTTTCTGCCTCTGTGTTGGTCAAGCTTGATTTTGCAAAATATATTTATTTTACTTAGCTATGAAATGTGAGGTTAGGGTATACTATGGAGTGGGAGTGGTATTACTTGCCTCATCATTTCTGAAGTGCTATGTGCTAGTATTTAAATAAATTCTTAATCTTCATTCTACTGTGTTACATGATGTTTTTCTGCCCTGAATTCTTCATTTTAGACTTTGTCTTCCTTTATATGGTTTCAGAATATGCAGTATTCCTATTGTACAGTGGTACTTTTATGCTTATATGAGTGCAAAATGATTGATGTTTAATGTGCATTGTTCGACGTGGGTGCAGAACTATGAAATTTATAACGTTAAGTTTAAAGACAAGTACTTCAGTAACATAAACACACAAGGAAACATATAACGTTTATTCTTTATATTTTTGTGACTTATAAATAATGCAATACCATTACATCTCAATACACATTGACAATTAGGCCTAAAGTTTACATACATTTCATAATTGAAGCATTAGTTTTCCAACTATATAATTTACGGCAATTAGCCTTAATAGTCACCAATGTAATTTCATTCATTTTAGAAGCTCTACAGCTAACACATTTCACAAAAGAAAATAGTTATATATATCAGATAATATACAAATGTGACTTAGACAAATATATACAAAAGAAATTTACAAAAAACAACAACAAGAAAATAGTTTATTTTTACAATTTTTGATACCATAATTTTGAAACAACACAACTTTATAACAATTATATGTTTCAAACTATCGCAAAATTAGATATGCTTTGTACGAGAAGAATGAGTTTACCCATTAGGGGAATAAAATATTACACCATTTCTATTATTGGTGGTAGTGGACATGATGCTTTGTTAATACCTTAGGGAAGAGTAAAAAAGAGTTGATACAATAAGTGGAGTAGTGACAAATGAAGACAGTTGATTTTTACAATTCTTGATACCATAATTTTGTAACATCACATTATCAAGAGTTTGATCAAGTAAAAACTTTAGATTTTAGTTAAAGATAGGGATTATCCACAAAGACAAGTTGTTTATACAAAAAATGTTGTGTACAGAGATATATTTCATTTACAGTCATTTCAGATTTTTACACTTTGTTACTTTAAATTATATATGTGCTTAGTAGGTTTTTACAACAAGGAACATGTTTTAGATAGATGTTGCATGATATAACCTGAAATTTCTGTTACTCTAAACTTTCCACACTGCCACTGGATTATTTGTTTCTGTTCATGCTAGTTATGCACAGTTCAAAGAGAAATAAAGTTAAATGAAAGTAGTAATGAAAAGTTAAGTGGCCGAAAGCTTTGAAGATAAATAATTATAATTGTCTGTTACAAAGGTATTTTTAATCG